ATTTCCGTGTTGTTTTTTAAGTAGTTTAAGTTGTTTATCAGCCATATTAAATTTTCATAATAATATTCAAACACAATAATAACGGAAATATTTCAAAGATTGAAGAATAAATGGTAAGAGATAAGTTCTTTTGACTTACTTTGAATCCTCTGCTTTCAAAATGGTTCTCCAGAAGTTGTGTTGAAATTGGGATGTAGTTATCAGTTGTCCACTCACACGGTTGAAATTAACAAAGTTGTGGATCAGATTAATGTTTATTTGAATTTTATATTTCTCGACTAACAATCACTGAACATGAATAAGTTCGATAATTTTCACTATGTTTAATGGCTTTTCAAAGGTCTTACTGTTTAGCATCTTTCAGTATCATTGGAATTTGCACTGTAGTTAAATTGAACTGAAGATTGCACTAAACGTCACTTATGTCTGTACACTTGGGATTTCAAACACATTTGCACAAAGTTCCCGGAATGAATATCCGGCTCGAAGGACCAAATTATGTTGTGTATTGTGCTGGTATAAAAAATTAGAAGTTATTCTTGTTTAAATAAATTGAATTAATTTATTTTCAAATACTCCTTATACAATTTCGTCTAACTTAAAAGATACTGCTTGGAAAAATTTGTTTAGTTCGAGAGAAAATTAGTGAATAAATAATCTCTTAAGGGTTCCTATCTCCTTCCTCATTACCTGTATTTTCAAAGTGGTGGGGTAAAGACTTCCCCTTCTCTATTAGTTGGAGGATGGTTCAACTGACCATCTACGAGTACAATGAACTAGACCCTAAGTATATTTTCAATACAATTTTAAGTGAATTGCTCTGAATGCTATATTTGCGCATTTTTATTAGTGTTATTTTAAGACCCAAATAAAGACATAAACTATGTTGAAGATAGAATCTTGATAAGTACAAAAACTGTTTGTTACACGTTAATCTTGTAGTAAAATACAAATTTGGGTTTTTTCTTTGCAAACACATGCTACTCTCTATTCTATCTTTAATCCCTTAGAGATGTTGTAAAAAAAGGTAGTTGTAAGTTTTAATAATTTTGTGTGTTACTAACTAATACATTTTATATTGTTACACTGTAACATGAATTATTTAGCCCCAAGTATCACCAATTTCACAAATTCAAAATCACCATGTGCCCAAAGAAAATCCTCACTGCTTCTGTCTCAAAGTCCAACGCTTGGCTCCACGTTGGGCGCCAAAATTATAACAGATCTTTTATTAATATTGAATTAACTTGTATCGACCTTAAATGATCAACCACACTTAAATTATCAAAGAGGAGATTCCGTTTCAGACCCAAAAACCGACGGATACAAACGACGGCGAAACAAGACGATGAAACTGGACATGATGACACCAACGGCGACTCTTATAAAAAACAAATCAAACGACACAAACAATTAATAAACAAATAAAAGAATAAAAACACAAAGGAGTTCACTAAACAATTGGCTCATTTATTAAACCCAAAAATTCGAATACAAAACGAAAACCCTGAAGTTTCCGAAAGTGGAAACCCCGAGTAAAACTCTGCCCTACTAATAACATGATGGCCCACAAGCTACTAAAGAATGAATGTCACGTTGAACGGCTTCTTCCTTCTTTTGCATCCTTTTTTAATTTTGATAAGGGCCCTCTCACTCTCTCCAATGGACAGCGACAACCTGTAAAGAAAACTCGGGATTTCTTTGATGTATTGGGAGAAGTGGTCCCGCTGCCAGACACGACTGGCACCATGGATATGTTCGGTAGACCTTGCCGTGGTGGCGGGGCTTTGCACTAAAGGGCAACCAAACAGCAAGAAAGAATGGATTCACAAAATTTAAAGAAAGTACAACATGTGAGCAGGCCTGAAACGGGAAATCTCACCATCGGTCCCAGGACTGAGGCTCAAGTGCGCGCGGATTGTGGGGGCGCACAATTTCTTGCAGTGCCACGGGTATTTATTATTATTAATTAATAATCAATTAATAATATTAAATAATAAAATTAATTAATAAATATTTATAATAATTTAATTAAAATTATTAATTTTAAAATTTATTAAAAATTTAATTACTATAATCAATTTATTTATTAATTGTTAACGTTGCAAATTAAATTACTAAAAAGTTATAATAATTAAAAAACATCTAAAATGTTTAATTACATAGAAAATATTAAATGTATATACACTGCAAAAACAAGTGTCTCATTTTGAGACGTTTTGTCCCATATTTAAAACACTTGAGATGTCTTGTGTCCACATATTTGAAACATGTATGTGTCTCATTTTAAGACGTTACAAAGTGTCTCACACATTTAACACTGCATTTTGAGACACGAAATGTGTTTCGAGTATCCATCTCACAGTAAGAAGACATTTTATGTGTCTTATACGCATTGAGTCACCTTTAATGTTTTAAAATGAGACACGAGATGAAATTAAATGTCTCAATATAAAACAGATTTTGTATCTCAATGATTTAAACACTTAAAACAACTCATTTTGAGACACGAGTGAGATTCCAGTTTTTGCAGTGTACCAATGCTTAAAATCTCTAGTTACGGCACTGAACTGAAACATATGTGCAGTGGTTATTAATTCTCAGTATCCATTGCGTTGAACGGCCGAGTGCGTTAAGCGGTGCGACTTTAGTCCAGTAGGACCCGAGTTCGCTCCCCGTTACCCCCCAAGATTTTTTCGGTGAAACTGCGTTATCGTTTAAAGGTTTATATAGATTATAACTGTTTATACTAATAAAAAATATTTGTTTCAAGGTTATTCTTAATAATAGTGCATTAAAAAAATTAAAGTTGTTTGAAAACAGTAAATATTTAGGATATTCGAATTTAGATTTTTTTTTAATTGAATTAAAAATCAAAAAGTAATGTAGGAAATTACATGTAATAATTTACTATTTCCAAAATTTTTATATAATAATTCAACTAATTAATTATAAAATGTTATATAATTTTTTATTGTATTCCGTTTATTATGTATATGGGGCATTCCAGCCCAAATCGGAAATTATTTTGCTTTTTCATCTCAAATTTTTTTTAAACATTTTTTTTCTTTTAGTACTCTTTGAAATGAGCTACCTTGATTCTTTTCAAATTTTTTCATAAAGCGGTTCAGAAGATACAGATTTTTCAAAAATGACGTTTTTTACGTAAATTTTTTTTAAATGCTTATAACTCGGTCAAAAATTGATCAAATTGGACGTTTTTATAATGAAAAGTTTTGTTTTTACGCGCAGTTTTTAATAAAAATATTTTTAAAAAATTTTAAAATAATTTACTATAAGATTTTAAAATTTTTTAAATAAAATTTCATTTTTAACAAGGTATGTATCGATCAATTTTTTTCATAATTTTTTGTAAGAGACTAGCACTAAATTAACAATTTTTAAGCCTTGTCCGATCGTGAGCAAACGATGGGATCTATTTATTTTGAAATTTTTAATTTTTATATATGCAGTGGTGGGCAAATGACTATAACTTGCCATTTGACAAAATCACACAAATTTTTCACAGCAAATGTGTTTTCAGACAGTCTCTCCAAACTTAACCTTCTTTTTGTGTAAAATTGTGATTTGGTCAAATGACAAGTTAGGCCTACCGTTTTTACTGCGTATATAAAAATTAAAAATTTCAAAATAAATAGATCCCATTATTTGCCCACGATTGTACAAGGCTTAAAAATTGTTAATTTAGTGCTAGTTTCTTACAAAAAATTTTGAAAAAAATTGATCGATACATACATTGTTAAAAATAAAATTTTATTTAAAAAATTTTTAAATTTTATCGTAAATTATTTTAAAATTTTTTAAAAATATTTTTATTAAAAACTACGCGTAAGAACAAAACTTTTCATTATAAAAACGTCAGATTTGATCAGTTTTTGACCGAGTTATAAGCATTTAAAAAAAAATTTACGTAAAAAACGTCATTTTTCAAAAATCTGTATCTCCTGAACCGCTTTATGAAAAAATTTGAAAAGAATCAAGGTAGCTTATTTCAAAGAGTACTAAAAGAAAAAAAATGTTAAAAAAAATTTGAGATGCAAAAGCAAAATAATTTCCGATTTGGCCTGGAATGCCCCATATATTATAATGGATACAGAAATTTTCCAAAAATATTTTTCATTTAATTTTTTTGGTGCTAAATAGAAATTTTATATTAATTGCATGAAATAAATGTGTTAACTACAGTAAATCTTAATATTAAACAAATTTTCAGTATTTTAAAATAATTAATTTGTCTAGTTTTTCTACAGAACCGTTGACCAGAATTTATAAAGTTGGGCTAGATAATAACTTGATGAAAAAAGCGTGACACTCCATTACAGTTATTAGCCAGTTGGCTAGTAAAGTAACTAGACAATTTCAAGCACGACTGGCCAATTCCTTTATAATAACTAGGACAAATTTCTACTAGGGACTCAAATATGTTCGCTCTCGACTGGGACATTAGTCTCGACTGGGTATATTAAACGTTTTAAATAGGCGCGGTTTCTTTCACCAATTAGGTAGTCCAAGTTGGATGGGGGAAATTCAATATGGCTGACATCAGCTGATTTACCGGAGGACAAACAATGCATTGAATTCAATAAGACAAATCAGTTTTTTAACCATAACTTTTTAAATATTCATTTTTGAACCATAGTGTAATGGAAAATTATTCTTTATTTATCGAAATATATTTTTTAAAGCAATAAAATTAAATTTTTTGGTTTTATTGTTTTAAAAAATAGATTTCGATAAATAAAGAATAATTTTCCATTACACTATGGTTCAAAAATGAATATTTAAAAAGTTATGGTTAAAAAACTGATTTGTCCCATTGAATTCAATGCATTGTTTGTCCTCCGGTAAATCAGCTGATGTCAGCCATATTGAATTTCCCCCACCCAACTTGGACTACCTAATAAAAGCATTTTTGTAGCGCAAGCGCAGTTGCGTTTGGTGAGGGTACCTGGCAGCTCTGAAACGTACGACAAAATTCTCCATCTCACTTTCCCCCTTTTTTCTCTCTCTCTCTCTCCTTTTCTCTCTCACTCTACACCCACACAAATGCAGACATTGAAGAGAGAGAAGGAGAGGGAGAATTGTATAGCTCGAACGAATCGTTCTCGTTCATGATGTACGGAACGAGAAAATCGAACCGACATGCAGTAAGGTGAAATGTTAGTCTTGCTTTGGAGTTTTAAAATATTGATTCGTGATGTGAAAAGACGGTGTGTTGCCCTCCCTTAAAAAGTTTCTTTCAAAATCTCAAGATTTTTACATAAAATTTTCTTTCAAAATCAAGACATTTAATAATAAAGGAAAAAAATTAAACGAAAGTGTTCCTCGTGAAATATTGTGCAAACAAAATAACCTAGAGCAAATATAGTACACGATTATTATATACATATATATACACGGATAATATATATAATATACGTATATATCTATATATACATATATTCTATATATATATATATATATAGATATATATTCTCTCTATATATATATATATATATATTGCATTTGATTTTTTGGCATATATGGAAAATGTCAAAATCTCTCAGCACACTCTACTATCAAGGTCGGAAACATCAGTCTCGCCGGGATATTAAAACTCATTATTTTTCAACTGATATATAAAAGCATGTGCTGCACTTTGATCATGAAAAGTCTTCGATCGTGCCGAGCGATTAATTTCGCGAACCATTCGTCGTGATACGCATGTTCCCGTTGATGTCTCGTCCTCTGCATGTCTCTCGTACGGCAGAAATGGTGCATCAATTTACTTGTATAAATAATGTCGGAATTGAAAATCACGCCTCATTTTTTTTTAAAAGAAATCTTGTGAAAGAGAAAAGGTAATAATTTATAAATTTGTATGAAAATATGCTTCATTTTTTCTTTTTCTGTATTTTTTTCTTGTCTGGATTTTTTTTCTTTTTTGTTTGTGTGGAGAAATTGTTTTTCTTTTTTTTCTTTTACTTCCCCCCCTCTCTCTCTTTCTCTCCTTCCATCCTCTCCCTTGGACTGTCGCCGCGATTCCAATGACTCAACTTTTGCTAAACTGAATATTTTTCTCCAACCATGCGTTAACCCTTTCTTTGCTGTTTTTCTTAACGCCCTTCTTGGTGATGACTGGCAATTTTCACGTGTGACTGAATTTTCGATTTTGAAAAATCTATTTCTTCTAATCTATTTTTGGCCAAATATTTTTTGTGGTTACCCGTGTAGAAATTTAACCATGGCCCAAATAGGGGCCAGATCTTTTGATCATTGTGTAGGCCATATCATGGCATGAAACACCTTCCCAGATCGGGCCCAAGTCTGGCCAGACTTGGGCCCGATCTGGGAAGGTGTTTCATGCCATGTTATGGCCTAGATATGGCAATTTCTACACGGGTAAAAATGGAAAATATTTTTCGAAAATAAAAATCTCTTTTTAATAAATATTTTATGTGGTTAAATGTAGAAAATATTTTTTGAAAATGAATATCTATTTTTAATACATCGGAAATTGTGTTTTTGCAAGTAAAAATATATTTTTAGTAAATTAAAATTTTTTTTTAAACTAAAAATCTATTTTAAATAAATAAAAATGATATGTTTTTAGAGTAAAAATGGGTTTTTGAATTAAAAATATATTTGTAATAAATTGAAAATAATATTTTTTGAAAAAAAAATATTTTTCATAAACTGAAAACTGTATTTTTTAAAAATAAAAAATCCACGTTTCAGAAATTGAAAATTATATTTTTTTATTTCTCGTTTATTTGACAATTTGAAAAATAAAAATCTACTTTTAAGAAATCGAAAATTATATTTTTCATTTGTCGTTTATTATTAATAATTATTTGCAATAAATTTGCCATTTTGAAAAATAAAAATCCACTTTTAGAAAAATAATAAGTTAAAAATAACACGTTTATTTTTTGCAAATAAAAAACTAAAATCTACTTTTAATAATTAAATTAATAAACAAAAAAATTAAAATCTTAAATTAGTAAAATAAAAAAATTAAATTAATTAATATACTTTTGAAAACTATATTTTCTATTTCTCGTTCATATTTATAATCAATTTATTTTAAAAAATGAAAATTTATCTTTGGTAAATTGAAAAATTTCTTATCTTCATTTGTCGTTTGTTATTTGTAATAATTAATCTTCCATTTTGCGAATTAAAAATTTTCATGTAAAAAAATTTTAATTAAATTGTCACTTATTTAATTTTATCACACATTATTTTCTCATTTACATCACAAATTAATTAATTCCTGCTCATATTCAGACTAATTTATTTATTATAACTTTTCGAAAATCACAACTAGTCTAGAATCTAAAAAAATAATATCGAGAAAAACAAGATTTTCTGAAAACCAGTTAGTAGTGTAAAGAAAAAAAAAGATGGACAAAATGGAAAAATTGTTTCTTGAATATAATGAGAAATCAACTTTCCAAACTGACGTATTATTATGTAAATTAAATTTGATTCTATTATGCAACATTTATTCCGCCTAATGTATCTGTAACAATAGTGACTTTTATGAAATTTTGATTGATCAATTTTTATTCATGGATTTAATACATAATAATATATATATACGGGGTTTCCAAATAATTTCCAAAAACTCCTCTGAATACTAATTTTTCATTTTTAAAACAAAAATTAATTTTACTCGTCAAAATAATTATAGAAAAAAAATTCGGTTGAGAGAAAAGATATTTTTTTGTCAAGATTTATTTATTTTTTCACGAGTTTTTTCAATTTGTTTATCGAAATAATCGTTTCAAGACGAAAATTAATTTTATAATCGACAAAATAATTGTAGAAAAAATTCTTTCAGACGAGAAAAAATATAAAGCAAACTGAAGTATATTTTGTCATAAATATATCATTTGCTCAAAATTTATTAACGGAACATTAATATACAAGTCATTTGAATACTGTGGCAAATTTATCTCATCAATATTGATTCATCTAGGAATTTCATGTCAAGATTAAATTTTAATGAATGATAATGAATATTTCTTCAATTACTCATGCCTCAATAATAGTCTGATTATTATTGATCCACACGTTTGATTTGAATACGAAACAGAAAAAAAATCTTTATCCACCGAAAGTAAATTTTTAACAAAATATTATATTACAATTTTTTTCTATAGTGAAAAATGTCTAAAATTTTTTCTAAGAAAAAATATTTCAAATTTTTTACAGCAAGAATTACTACAATTTTTTCCATAGAAAAAACTATTTTAATTTTTCCCCAATAAGAATTATTACCAATTTTTCCCCAATGAAAAATAATTTCAATTTTTTCCTAGTAAAAATTATTTATTTAAACCTTGAGCCTTATTACTAACTAGTTGTCGTACCCGTCTTCTACGGATTTTAGTTTCTACTAATATATTTAAAGAGGTGTCTACCAATCGGGAATTTAGTTTGCGTGAAAAAAACTAATAATTAGTTACCATTAACTATTTCATTAGAAAAATATTACTATTTGAATCAGTAAATTTTACATTTTACCCATTTTTGCTTAATGCCCAGATAGAATTTTGGAATACTAATTGTTTACAGTAAGAAATATCAAAAATTTTCCTTAGTAAAAATAATTATTTTAATTATTTCTCCGAATAAAAATTCAATTTTTTCCTAGTAAAAATTATTTTTATTCATTAAAACTCTGAATTCTACTGCAATTTTTACTCTGTAAAAATTATCAAAATTTTTCTCTAATAAAAATAGATTATTACAATTTTTTCCCAGTAAAAAATATCACAATTTATCCTCAACAAAATTATTACACTTTTTTTTCTAGTAAATATTAATTATTTATTTATTTAAATTCCGCATTCTATTATAATTTATTCTATTCCAGTAAAATTTTATTTTTTGCTTATTTATTTATATATTTAAGTAGTATACGGGACTATATTTTGTTTTTTGAATAGAAATTTAAAGTTAATACAAAACTTTGCAATTTAATAAAATAATAAAAATGAAAAATCTTTTGCGCAGAAAAATAATTGAGTTGAATTTTGATCATGATGATGAAATACATCGAGTTGGAAAAAGGAGTAATGAAGAGTAAACGTCATTCGTTCTTTACTCATATTTGGCGTTTTCAGGTAAGTTTTCATTGAGAAATAATATTAAAAGCAGAAAATAATTTATCAAAAGAAGAGAATTTTTTTTAGAGGAAGAATTATTTTTCTTTAGAGAAACTAAATTATTTTCTTTAGGGGGTGGGGGGGTTTAGAAAACTACACTTTTTTGAGAATAAAAAATTGTTTTTTTAGAGAAACTAAATTTTGTTGGGGGGAGAAATTATTTTTTTTGAAAACTAATTTTTTTCTTCACTTTTAGGCAATGATTTGGAACATTTAGAAGAAGTTTTTCATGGCTTTTGTAAGTGTTGACTTGCATTAGCTCGAAATTAATCAACATGGACTCACCGCCTTCGTGTTCTCTAAGCATGACCGGACCTCTTAGCGATATTGGAAGCAGTGGACTTGGAGGTTCAATATCCAGTGATTCTGTTAGAGCGCATTTAGCAATAGAGGTAAATTTCTTCATAAATATTTTTTTCGAAGTATTTCCAATTATTTCGAAGTGGTTCCAAGAATTCCGATGTATTTTAATATATTTCCTAGTATTTCGAAGTAGTTCCAAGAATCCCGAAGTATTTTGAAGTATTTTCTATAGTATTTTGAAGTACTTCCAAGAATTTCGAAGTATTTTCAAGTATTTCTAAGTATTTCCTAGTATTTCTTGCAATAATTCAGTTATTTTCATAAATAATAAAACTCTTTTTAGGAATTCAATTATTTATATAAATAATAAAACTCATTGCAGAATTTCAATTATTTTAAATACAATTTTAATCGAATTCCTCGAAAAAATGTAATTATTCTTAAAAATTAAAATCTTTGAAAATTTGAATTTTTCAAATTTTTAACTAACAATTCTGCGGAATTAATTTTTTTGAAAAAGTTTAATTGCGGATTTTTTTTAAATTATTTGAAGTTCTTATTTTCTAATATATATTTAATTGAAGAATTTTCAAATAATTAAACTTTTGTAAAATTGAATTATTAATAAACCAATTTAAAAATTCTCAAAGAACTTTTTAAAAAATTATTAAAAATAATGGATATATAGAAGAATTTTAATTAAAAACACTAAAAAAAATTGAATTTCGGAGAAGTTACAAATCATTGCATGAATTCAATTATTTTAAATAATAATAAAATTCTCGGCAGAAATTAAATATTATGTTCAAAAATTTTTAAATTCTTCTTAGGGATTCAATTATTTTCAATACAATCTCAATAGAATTCCATAATCAAATTTTAAATTATAACTATTAACAGACAAGATTATTTTTAAAAGTTGAAGAACATTATTTGTTTAATTTAATTATTTTCAAAGTTTTAAATTAAAATTATTAAAAGAACTACATTATTTTCAAAAAAAAAAAAAATTGAAAGAAATTCTTAAGTTTAAAATAATTTAAGTATCAATTCCTTCCAAACAATTCAATTATTTTCAATATTTTAGTAAAATTCTTTGAATCAATTAAAAATTATTTTTAAAAATTGTAATGTGGCATTCCAGGAGAAATTTACTACTTTTCGGAGCACCCTCACCGATTTCTTTCAAACTTGGTAGTATTACATTTGTTGGTCTAAAGTTTCAGAAAATCAATTTTTTAAGTAAAATCAATTGTTTATTTAAAAGTTACAACAATTGCTCAAAATTGTTTAAATGCCCATATCTTTTAAACGGTACAAGATAATTGAGTTTTCTTTTTTGCTAAAAATTCATAAAGACGAGACGCTTCAAAAATGTTATTAACATTTTTTCTTATTTTGTTAATTAAAAAAGTTATTTAAATAAATAAAATTAACTTTTGAGCCGGAATTCAAAATTAAATGACTTATGAACCAAAAAATTCCTTGTTTTTCACACTTTTATATTCCGAAGAAAAAAAGTTGTTTGAGTTTTTCAATGACTTATAATTTAAACAATGATTCGCTTGTTTACAATTATTTTCCAGATAAATGATCATCTGTTCTCTCCTGCGCGCGACTACTGCTGCGTCACGTCCGTCTGTCGGCATATAATATTTTTGACAAGCGTGGAAAAATTGAGGTTATGTTTAAACAAAACAACGCATTTCAATCTTTTTAAAGTTTTTAGCAGTCATGGAAAAAAAGTTAAATCAAGATATTGATATCCTGATATCCTAAAACTTTAAAAAGATTGAAATGCGTTGTTTTGATTAAACATAACCTCAATTTTTCCACGCTTGTCAAATATATTATATGCCGACAGACGGACGTGACGCAGCAGTAGTCGCGCGCAGGAGAGAACAGATGATCATTTATCTGGAAGATAATTGTAAACAAGCGAATCATTGTTTAAATTATAAGTCATTGAAAAACTCAAACAACTTTTTTTCTTCGGAATATAAAAGTGTGAAAAACAAGGAATTTTTTGGTTCATAAGTCATTTAATTTTGAATTCCGGCTCAAAAGTTAATTTTATTTATTTAAATAACTTTTTTAATTAACAAAATAAGAAAAAATGTTAATAACATTTTTGAAGCGTCTCGTCTTTATGAATTTTTAGCAAAAAAGAAAACTCAATTATCTTGTACCGTTTAAAAGATATGGGCATTTAAACAATTTTGAGCAATTGTTGTAACTTTTAAATAAACAATTGATTTTACTTAAAAAATTGATTTTCTGAAACTTTAGACCAACAAATGTAATACTACCAAGTTTGAAAGAAATCGGTGAGGGTGCTCCGAAAAGTAGTAAATTCCTCCTGGAATGCCACTAATAAAATTCTGAGAGGAATTTAATCATTTTTTCAAAATTTTAATAAAATTCAATGTTTAATTTCAATTTTATTAAAAAATACGATTATTTTAAAGACTTGAAAGAAATTTTTCAAAAAATTCAAGTACTTTAAAAATTTCCAATTAAAATTATTAAACTATTAAAGAAACTCCAATATTTTCGATGCAGTTCCAATAATTCCGAAGTATTTTCTAGTATTTTGAAAAACTTGCAAGAATTTAGAAGTATTTTTAGAATACTTCTATAATATTCTAGAATATGAGAAGTATTCCTAGTATTTTGAAGTACTTTAAAGAATTCCGAAGTATTTTGAAGTATTTCCTAGTATTTTGAAGTACTTCCAAGAATTTCGAAGTATTTCATGGTTGCCACACAAACTGGAAAACCTGGAAATAGCATGGAAATTGAAAAAGGATATGGAAAACCTGGAATTAGCATGGAATTTAAACGAATTTCTGGAATTTTTTGGGTTAATGAAAGATATTAAGAAAAATTCCATTCAACATATTTTTTTTCTTTAAAAATGTTAACATGCAATTTCCCTTTTCCATGTTTTCTCTTTAAATTAATTTATTTTTTTTTTAATTATTGACTGAAACTGTGAAAAGTGTTGTTAAGATTGTTCTAAAAAAAGGATTTTATATCTTTATTAGTATTACGATTGTCAAAATTTTTTGGTACTAGTTGCTTTTTGTTCAAGATTTTGAACAAAGTTTAAAGATAAAAATTATTTAATTTAGACATGACTTCAATGTTCTAATTATGGCTAATTCTTCTGAAAGTGACATTTTTGATATCTCGATTAATTTTATAGAATCTACTCTCCAATAATATTATTAACCATTTTTATAGTAAAAATTTATAATTTATAAGAGAACTAAATTTTTATGGTTTTTTTCAAACTCTTAAAAATTTTTTTAAAATAGTGTTAAAAAATACAATGTTTTTCTATCATTATGTGCATTTTAAAAATTTTTGTACCTCCGTTTTATATGTGATAAAAATGTTTAAATTTTGTCTTCAGTTTAAGTTAAAATTACTATTTATTAAAATTATTTATTAATTTATTATTTATTTATTATTTATTATTTATTAAAATTACTATTTATAAAAAAATTCTTACTTTTGAGTATGAAATAAAGTAGTTTCAATAGAAAAAACCATATAATTTAAAAAAAAATAAATTGAAAAATCGAATATCAAAAGTATCACTTTCAGAAAAATAAACATAAAAATGCCTGTGATTTTAACTGTTTAAGAGAACATTAATTTATAACTATATAATAATGAATATTGTTAACACTGTTTTGTAAAATACTTGTTTTTTCATCACAAATAATTCCTAAATTTGAACCTGGAATTTTTAATATTTTTAACCTGGAAAACCTGGAAAAAGCCTGGAATTTTGAAATCTAGATTTTGTGGCAACCATGTATTTTCAAGTATTTCGAAGTAGTTCCAAGAGTTTCGAAGTATTTTACAGTATTTCTAAGTATTTTCTAGTATTTTTAGAATACTTCTATAATATTCTAGAATATTAGAAGTATTCCTAGTATTTTGAAGTACTTCCAAGAATTTCAAATTATTTTCAAGTATTTCCTAGTATTTTGAAAAACTTGCAAGAATTTAGAAGTATTTTTAGAATACTTCTATAATATTCTAGAATATTAGAAGTATTCCTAGTATTTTGAAGTACTTCCAAGAATTTCAAATTATTTTCAAGTATTTCCTAGTATTTCGAAGTAGTTCCAAGAATTTAGAAGTATTTTTTAAAATTCCGAAGTATTTTTTTTTAATATACCAGTTACACGCTACGAGCCTGTCTATATATATTGTGTTTATCACATTGCTTTTGCTCACGAGTTCAGTATTGAATGTGCCCTTCCAACGAACACCACACTAAATTTCCTTATTATAATAAATTCTTATATTAGTTAACTAACTGTCTTTAATCTTTTCACAACCTCAGCCCAACAATTTTCAAGTATTAAGAATTATTTCCTAGTATTTTCAAGTACTTTGAAGAATGCCGAAGTATTTTTGCAGAAAGTGAGACTAAAAACTTTGCGTTAATTTCCAGATGCAAGAAAGCGACATGGAGAGTAAATCACTGTCCCAGGACTCGTTCGACTATTCCGACGGGATGTGCGGTGAAAATTTCAATACCCTAAAAAAAGGTCCAGGCTGGAACGATTTGGATGGGAAATTAGAGGTGGAAGTTGAAGTGGTGGACGTGGCAATAAAGCCACCACCCGAATTTCAGGACAGTCCATCGCCGCCCGACTCAGCGTCCCTTGGACCAATTCTCTGCTACAATCATTTGCTCTGCGACAAGACGAATCATTCATGGATGGATGAATTCGCCGAGAACCTAGTGCGACTGATTGTCGAGGAAGCACTGGCAATATCCTGCCGGATATCGTGGCCCGAGGGCAGAATTTCCTCCGCGAGTGGAAACAGTAATATGCGAAATTCAAGACGTGCATGGACAACGGACTATTTTGCCTCATCGACATCGTGCCAGAGCGGTGCAACAATAACAATCACACCGTTCAGCACACTCCATCGGCCAAATTCTCGAAGTTCATTGGCATCATCGCGTCTAAGTAGTTCGCACAATTCGATTAATACTTCTGGTCTGGGGCACAAGGTCGACGACAGTAGTTTCATCACGTCGGCAATGTCCCACGACGTACTCACCACGAGTGAAATTAGCGACATGTACAATGTGCCCTTCGATTCTGATATTTACACAGTGCCAATCGATGTCGTGCGTCCTCTCCACGAACTCCGAACACCACAACGACCCAAACGTCACAAGCATCATCGCAAACGACGGAGAAATGTCTCGGCGAGTTCACAAAGCGAATTGGAGGCTCACATCCAACAGGCCAGACACTACTGCGGAAAATCCAGGGCCATTACCCACGTCATCAAATCCCAAAGGCTACTCGCCGAGGTAAACATTTTTTAAAAAGTCTCCTTTCCCCATTTTATAATCAAAAGTAAACAACTTTTTCTTTTTTTCGATTATTAACACCACAACAGAACACAACTATGCTTTTTAATGTTTGTGATTTATATAATAATAATAATAATAATAATAATAATAATAATAATAATAATAATAATAATAATAATAATAATATAACGTTAAGCATAACAAAGAAAAACAAAGACATTCAGACAAAGATTCGTTTAATGTTACTCCAACGTTTCGAAATCCACAGATTTCCTCTTCAGGGAGTCTAATATATACATCAAAAACCAATAAAAATAAAAAGATGTTAGTTCACAATAAGAAATAAAATAGTAAAATAAAACATGAAATAATAAGATAAAGAAATCGAAATATTAACAATAGTAAGTAAAAACAAAAATATTAACACAATTAACGCAAATTAAAAATAGTAGGGGAGAATGGGGCAAGGATAGTTAGGTAAGACGTTTTCGGATCTAGCGAACAAACCTGAATATGTATCTACAAACGAGTAGTATTTTTGGAAAGCCTGGTTATTTGGCTATACTTTTGCTAAACATTATTTTGCTGTAGACTGCAATCCCTACGAGATACGAATGAAAAAGGAAAAAACAAATTTTTAACTAACCTTGCCCCAGTACCAGGGCAAGGATAGATAAAAGAATCCGAAAGATAAAAATGTCATAGAAAGTCAGTAAATTTTCGTTTTCTTTATTTTATTGGATTTAGACTATTCAATATTGATATCTCAAGTATTAACAACATGTTTTGAACATTTTCTAAATATCAATTATTGCATTAAAATTCGTCTGAACTAGAATCTGAGGTTTAACCAATTTTCTTCAGACGTCCACCAATTTCTTGATCAATAAGTTTTGTTTTCCGTATATAATTACGCACCATTTTGTATATCAACATAAAAAGAACACTTACGTAAATAAATATTCGAAAGCAGTAATATAGAAAACAATATGATAAACACTACGTTGACATTTTAGCAAAACAGACTTTTTACAAAAATAAACTCCTAACTTCGCAAATGGTGGCAGATTAACTTCCAATTTTTACTATCATCTATTGGTGTTAAGACGCGAACATATCATGAATGACGCGCTTTTTGAAGAAGCCGTTTAAGCATGACAGCAACTAACTATCCTTGCCCCATCCTCCCCTACGTAAAACAAAAATAATAATATAAGTACAAAAATAACAATCTTACCAATTTAGCAACAGTCAGAAATTAAATTTGTCATAAATAAATTAAAATTCGTCAGAAAATAAAAATATTAAACGTTGGAGTAACATTAAACGAATCTTTGTCGTTCGTCCCCTTATTCTAAAATTGAATAAAAAATTTTTTTGAATTCTTTTGAAGAATTTCTTTAAGTTTTCTTGAAAATAATGTAGTTTTTAGAAAATTTTGAAAATAATTGAACTTTTTCAAAAACTATTATTAAAAATTAAAAAAAAAATTAATTCTTTTACGAACAAAGAATTTTACTATTTCAGCGTTGCCACAGGTTTGGGAAATCAGGGAAAAGTCAGGGATTTTTATTAAAAGTAATGGAAAAAATTAAATGTTTAGAATTTATAAGAAAATTCTGAATTTTTGTGCTTCTGTTTGTCTCATAAACTATAAAATTACCACAAAATCTAAAAAAAACCTTAAATTTTTTCTATTTCTGACAATAATTTATTTCAAATAACTTAATTTTATTGAAGAACTGACATATAGTACATTGTACAACTAGTGGCGAAAGTGTGATTTTTCGAGAGTGAAGTTTGCGGCTCGAGCGTAGCGAGAGCAGCAATCACTCGAGAAAAATCATTCTTTCACCACGAGTTGTGCACTACGTTTTCTCCAACGCCTTGCGAGGAAAGGTTTCTTCGTGAGTTTCGTATAATTTTAATTTAAGATGTTCTTATGTTTAATATAATAAAAGACGAATGTTTTGATTGGGGAAGAAGTTAGATACAAAATAAATCTCGGTCAAAGAACAAGAAAAAAGAATAAATTCATGATTTACTTTCGCCACGCTGAATTTACTTTCGCCACGCCAAATTTTACTTTCGCCACGCTCTTCAGAGCAGTTGAGAAAAGTTCTACTTTCGCCACACTTATCTACCAAGAAAAGCACTCCTTTCAGAGCAAGTGTTGGAGAAAAGTTATTACTTATAAATCATTTAATGAAGTATTTTTTTGAAAAACTTTAATTTCAATTTTGTTGAAATTAGTTTCAATTTAAAAAATTTTAACGCAATTATTTGAAAAAATTTAACTATCTTAAGAAACATTCAAATTCTTTCCAGAAATTCAATTACACTGCAAGCCCGATCAGCGGTCACCCGATCAGTGGTCGCTTGTTTACATCGTTTATGGATGGGGCGGGCGAGGGGCCATGAGGGAGTCGAAAAGTTGTGGCAGTAGCGTATACATTAAAGACGCTCTGGCCCCTTAAAAAAAAATTTAGTAGTCAAGTAATGGTACCCCATCATAAAACAGTTCGTACGGTCCTATATGTTTACGCCCGATCAGCGGTCAAGCACCCCCGGAGCTGACCGCTGATCGGGCTTGCAGTGTATTTTCAAAAAATTTTTAAAAATTCTCGTCAACATTTTAATTATTTTTATAAACAGCATGATGCTTCGCCGAAATTCAATTATAGTATGCATAAATTTTTCTAATATTCATTGTAAAATTAAATTATTCTCATAAATAACAATATTCATCATAAGGATTTAATTATTTTCAAAATTTATAAAATTCTTCGCAGAAATTCAATTATTTTCAAAGAATCCAAAAAAAATTGTTGTCAACATTTCAATTATCTTTTAAATTAAATAGCAAAATTCTTCGCAATAATTCAATTATTTTCGTAAATAATAAAACTCATTGCAGAATTTTAGTTATTTTTAATACAATTTAATCAAATTCCCCAAAAAATGTAATTATTAATAGTAATTTTATTAAAATTCGCCGAAAGAATTCAATTATTTAAAAATTTATTGATAAAATTCTATATAAGAATTAAATAATTTTAAGAAACATTCATTCATTTATTCAATAAATTATTTACATTTGTATTTAAATAATTGAATTTTCGTAGAATTTTCTAATAAAAATTGATTTAAAAATTAATTTCATATATTTAACTTTTAGATTTAACTTTGGAGAAGTTACTAATAATTGCAATTTTTAGAAATAATTGAATTTTGTAAAGATTTCAAATTAAAATCTTTCAAAATTTGAATTTTTCATACTTTTAATTAAAAATTCTATGGAACTAATTTTTTTCAGAAAGCTTAATCGCAATTTTTTAAAATTATTTGAAAGTTTTTATTTTCTAATGTATATTTAATTGAAGAATTTCCAAATAATCTAAATTTCGTAAAACTGAATTGTAAACAAATGAATTTGAAAATTCTCAAAAGAATTTTATTTAAAAATTTTAGAAAATAATAATTGAATTAAAACGATGAAAATAATTTTTAATAAGTTACAGTAACAATATTTTTATATTATGATATAAGATAATGATTTTATTACTCGGTTATAATAATATTCTTTCAAGTTATTGAATTTCAGAAGGTTTGAATTTGAAATTTTTGAAATCTTTTTTCCTATGAAAAAATAATAATGATTAAAAAGAAGTTAAGTTATTGATATTTTCGAATAATTTTACAATTAAAGAAATTCGTAAATAAGTGCGTTAGAACATTTTTTTTTAGTATCTAATCATTTTTAAAGTGAATCAGAATATTCTTTAGGGTCAGGGAAAAAGTCAAAATTTTGTCAGAAAATCAGGGAAAAGTCAGGGAAAAGAAAATTAAATTTTTGTGGCAACCCTGTATTTATAAAAATAATTGAATTGTTTCCAAGAATTTTTAAAAATTTTAGAAAATAATTGCATTCTTTCGTGAAACTTTATTAAAAGAAAATTAAATTATTGTGGCAACCCTGATAAAAATCGAATCATTTTCACTTCGGTGAAGTTCACAACGTTTATGCTCAACGATTGAACAAAAAAAAATTTTTTTTTGACAAAAATAACAAAATATTTTGTTTAAAAATTTTTCTTTTTCAAATTAATAATCAAAAAATGATGCAAAACATTTTTTATTTAAAAATATATAAAAATATAAATAGAAAAATATTTTTCCTTCTAAATCGTTGATCATAATAACAATTTTTGTCCCCTTTTTGAGGATAAAAGATACTGTGATGCCAGTTTAATCTATTTTTACCCTTTTTTTGCAGGTATGTTGCAACGAAACAGGAAACGGCAAACGTCACAGTGTACCCGGTACATCAGGACGGCACAGTTCACGTTCCTCGAATAATAGTCACACGCGAAATATCGGTGAACCAATTCACATGACATTGCACGAGGTGCGACAGTATTTGCAAACTCTATACTCAAGTTCTAGTGATTCTAGTGAAAACAAGATAAAACGCGATAAAATGGCAACTGGCCAATCGTCGTTACATCTTGCAATGCCCAAAGTTCTTAATATTAATAATAACAATAGATATAGTAATCCACATACAGACTCGTCGACAGACACGCCAATATCGAATAATAAAGCTAGCAATGGACTGATACACACTAATAATAATAATAATGGGAACATTAAGAAGCACAAAAAAAGTACACTCGTCAATATTAGGCACAAAAAATCCAAGGACGAGGGTGTTCATAAGGAGAAAACGGAAACTGAACGTGATAAAATAAAAAAGAGTCAACGTAATTTTTCTCTAAATCTCAAACAGACGTTGTGTAATATTTTTAGGTTTAGGCGACTCGGCTCACCTGAGCATTATGTGAATAAAAGAAATAGCATTGTTCAAGGTGATATCGTTGAGGAGGATGAGGGTGTTGATTTTGATCAGCATGCGAATAATAATAATACCACCAATGCAAATGATGTTGATTCATCTGCTCAGAAAATGCCTTTTTTTAAACGCGCTTTACCCCCATTACCAAAGACAAATGGTCACATCGAAATGGAATCGCATAATAAAGAAACACCATCGGCACCACTACCACCGCCGCCAATTTTATTGGCAAAGTGTGAATCGCCGTCTTCCATTCAGCACTTGCCAATTGGAGCTTCGCGTGATGATGAGGAACCTGCTGAGGACACCAGTATGGACTTCGCTGCCAGTATAGAAAAAGTTAAGGATGTAAGTAGACAGAAAAAAAATTCTGAACCATTTTTACCTTCCTTGCTCTCCCCTCTCTTTTCGGCTATAAGGACTTTTATTTAACTTCAAAATTAAATAAATCTCAACATATTTCACATATTTTCACTACTTTAAATTCGCTAATACTAGAAATCAAAAAACTACTCTCGAAAATTATAATCAAATTCTTTAGAACGATTCCATTATTTTCAAAAAATATTTTAAATTCAATTATTATTTTCAATATATCTAGTATTTTCATCAAATTTCGGGAATTTTGAAATTTTTTATTAAACTATTTTTAAAAATTTTAATAGAATTCTTTGTAACATTTAATTATTTATTACTGTTTTCATAAAATTTCCAAAGAGAATTCTATTATTTAAAAAATTTTTGTTAAAATCTTCTTAAAATTTCAATTCTTTTCATGAATAATAAAAATTTTTCAGAAATTCAATTATTTAAATTAGAATTTGCATAAAATTAGTCGAAAGAAATCAATTATTTAAAATTTTTTATAAAATTCTTCGCAAGAATTGAATTATTTTTACAATAATATTTAAATTCTTTCATGAATAATAAAATTCGTTGGAGGAATTCAATTTATTAGCAGGATAAGAAAGAAGTAAATATTTTTGATGAAAATTAGGAAAAAGTCAGGAAAATAAAATATAGAATGGAATTTTTGTCAGTTTTGTGAAGTGTCTAAGACTAGTTTTTTTGGTCGTCAAGTTTAATTTTTTGATAGCTACTTTTTTACTACTTTTTTTTTAGTTTGAAAGCTACTTTTTGCTACTTTTTTAAAATTAATTATCGAGTGCGAAGTCTGATTTGATCATTTAAGAAACAAAACAGAGAAATTAGCAAGGAAATGAAATAAAAGCAAAAATAATTATGGTAAATAGTAAATTCGGAAAAATGTTGAAAATCTGATTCCTGCGGCTAAATTCTGAACCGAAAAGTCGTTTCTATTTTCTCAACAATTGAGAATTTTGGTATTTTTGATGATTTTAAAGACTTCGGGACAAATTGTAGTCTCCCCTCCACTTTCGGCTCTCGGGCATTTTTGTTTAGCTTTAAAAACAAATAATTGTGAAAATATGGAAAAGTTTAAAGAGCGAGAGGTTTTTTTCGGTCTAAAATCCACTCTGGAATCTGCCTCCCTTCAGAGAAATTTGCAAAGAAATTTAATAAAAAATAAAAAAGGATTTCAATTAAAAAAAAAGTTAAAAATCTGCTTCCTGACCGAAAAATTAATTTTAACTTGAAAATAAATAGAAATATTTAGTTTGGCTTTAATTTTGATCGGCCTGGAAGTTTTAGATAATTAGTAGATGCAATATTTTTCTCATTGAATTCTATGATTCCTGACAAAACTCTACAACAGAAAATTTGCATTTATTTTTTAAACTACTCAACATTTTCAGAATTGTACACTTTTTAAACGTTTAAACACAGTTCGGTCATCCCCTCCCTTTTCGGCTAGAAACATTTCTTATTGAACTTTAAATTAAAATAACACCTAAACTTAAGCAATCATTCAAAAAAGTGAAAGACAACATTTTTGTTTAGAATCTTCCCAGGAATCTGCCTTTACCACAGTATTAATTTTAATTTGAATAAAAATATTTTAATAATTAAATATTTAAATAGTAGGGTCAAACCATTTTATTTCGCCTAATGTATTTTTGACCTTTATAAAAAATTTCAATACTTCGGGAGAATATTCTTACATGTTTTGGGATTACGAAATGCACAATGATTTGTAAAAAATAATTTCATTTCATATAAAAAAAGATATTATAAATTGAAAGTACATGAAAAAAGGTTACATTGACAGGGATTACAAAATATTTAAAAAAGGAGTAATCTCTTTAAGAAATATAAAAAAAGCGATTGCTATTTATTTTTAAAGACTTAATTTGTGATTTGAACTTAATAAAAGTATCAAATAATTTATAATAAACTGTAAAATATGTTATTTAAGTTTCTGTATGAAATGTCAAAAATCGATCATATTTAACAATTTTTTTTGACAAACTAATTTAATTTTCGTAAATCAGAATTATTTAAATAATAAGTATTTTAAATACACTTTATTATTATTTAAATACTTTTTTGATTATCAACTGAGAAATATAAAAAAATTTACCTTAAAAATGAACCATTCTTCATTTTATCGGGATTTTGAATGCACTGAGAAAACATTATACTTAAATGAAACACAAAAATAATGTTAGACGATTTTGTTTAATTGAAATTAGTTTGCAAGTTTAATCTCAATATATAGAAAATATTTACTGCATTGATTCAAAAGTATTATTTGTTTGAATAATTATATTTAATTCAAACATATTTTCTGTTTACGGTTTAAACAAAAATTATGTTTAAAAATTTTATGTTTTAATCAAACTTAAAAGTTGACTACAGATAATTTAAAATTAATCACAATTTATGTTTGATTTCAATATATAATCTCTTAAACTGAACCAGAAAATATGTTTAAATTAAACTTAAATATGTTTGACTGTATGGCAAAGATATTTTAAGTTTGATTTAAACAAAATTTGTTTGAATCAAATAATTTCTTTTCTCAGTGTGTTTGTAACTTCGTTGGAGAAAACCCGATTTATGCCAAATTTTTGGAGCATGTTGATTGAAACAATATCTTCCTGCTACTAAAATTTCGCGATGGGTTTTGCACTAGTTTTCAAAAAAAATTGATTTAAAAAAGTGTTTATTTTGAAGGTTAATGACAAGTATTATAGCTGACTTGAAGTTGGTTTGTTTTAAACTGACTTTAAAAAAATCGTTTTATTTTGAATTTGGCTTTTATTGCAAGTAGCAAACCAACTTCAAGTCAGCTATAATACTTGTCATTAACCTTCAAAATAAACACTTTTTTAAATCAATTTTTTTTGAAAACTAGTGCAAAACCCATCGCGAAATTTTAGTAGCAGGAAGATATTGTTTCAATCAACATGCTCCAAAAATTTGGCATAAATCGGGTTTTCTCCAACGAAGTTACAAACATTCAAAATCCCGATAAAATGAAAAATGGTTCATTTTTAAGGTAAATTTTTTTATATTTCTCAGTTGATAATCAAAAAAGTATTTAAATAATAATAAAGTGTATTTAAAATACTTATTATTTAAATAATTCTGATTTACGAAAATTAAATTAGTTTGTCAAAAAAAATTGTTAAATATGATCGATTTTTGACATTTCATACAGAAACTTAAATAACATATTTTACAGTTTATTATAAATTATTTGATACTTTTATTAAGTTCAAATCACAAATTAAGTCTTTAAAAATAAATAGCAATCGCTTTTTTTATATTTCTTAAAGAGATTACTCCTTTTTTAAATATTTTGTAATCCCTGTCAATGTAACCTTTTTTCATGTACTTTCAATTTATAATATCTTTTTTTATATGAAATGAAATTATTTTTTACAAATCATTGTGCATTTCGTAATCCCAAAACATGTAAGAATATTCTCCCGAAGTATTGAAATTTTTTATAAAGGTCAAAAATACATTAGGCGAAATAAAATGGTTTGACCCAGTATTGATAATTAATTTTTTATTTCGAATAGTATGGATGGTACTGGGGTCCTATAAGCGGCGAGGCTGCGGAAAAAATACTATCCAACGAGCCGGATGGATCATTCATTGTGAGAGATAGCAGTGATGACCATTACATTTTTTCCCTGTCATTTAAATTGAACAGTTGTGTAAGACACGTGAGGATAGAACACGATCAGGGTATGTAATTGGTTATTTTGAAAAAAATTAATAATTAATAAAAATCCCTCATTGCCATAATTTACGAATTTTTAATCTAGAATTTAACTATTTTTGTTTATTATCAAATAATAATTTCTAATACAATTTTTTAATTATATTTAATATTTTTTAATACAATTTGTTTATTGTATTAAATATTTTTTAATGCAATTTGTTTATTATATTAAATATTTTTTAATAAATTTACGCCTTTTATTAAACAATAATTTTAAAAAACAGTTTTAGCAAAAAAGAAATATTTTTTAATTACAATTTCTTAATTATATCAATTATTTTGATTGTATAATAATAATTGTACAAAAATGTTAATTCGATCATCTAAGGGAACGTCCATAAACTACGTAGACCAATTTTTTGGAAATTTTAACCCCCCCTCCCCCCACGTGGACGCAATTACATGTATTAGTGACATTTTTTCCTCTTATGGTAGACAATTGCTTGACCCCCCTCCCCCTCCCCCTAGACGTGCTACGTAGTTTATAAACGTTCCCTAATAGAAAAAATCCATTTTTGCTTCCTCATGAGGAAGCTTTGCATTGGTGACGATTTTCAATTTTTCAAAAGAAGGTTATATGGACTCATTTTCATCTAAAACATATGTATATTCAATTATGAGCAAATGTCCAGATGTATGTATGTGTGTGTGTGTGTATATATATATATGTGTGTGTGTGTGTGTGTGTGTGTATGTCACAAAAATTGTGTACAAATTATCTCAGACAAATTTTGATGGATTGTCCTGAAAAAAAATTCAGAAAAATTTTTTTTTTGTATTTTTTGAAATAATTTTTTTATTTGTTAATATTTTCATTAATTTTTCTCAAAATTACATTCCTGACAAGAAAACGAATCGATTGATGTATACAAAGTATATATTTTATCAAAATTTATCAAATTAATAAATATTTTTCTTTTTAAAAAAAAATTCAAATTTTGTATTTTTTTCATAATTTATTTAATATTAATATTAATATTTTGAAATGATTATTCTATCATAAAAAAGAAGCAATTGGCAAATGAAAGTGTAAATTTCACCAAATATTTATATAACAACTTATAAATTATAAATGATTTATATAATTTTATTTTTAACAAATCTTCTGGACGAACCCTTTTGTACATAGTTTTTCAAAAGTTTGCAAAACCGCAATTTTTATACATTGAGGAAGCTAAATGGTCATGAAATGAACAACTTGTTTTCTAGTATCCACAAGTTCTAAAAGTTCAAAATAAGGAAATTTTTTCCCAATATTAATATTTTGAAAAATTACTGGCTGTTATAAAAAGCAAAAAGAAAATTAAGCATTTTGGAATTTTATAATTAAGTTTTTTTAATACTTAACGCAAAATTATTGCAATACAATTTTTATTAGAAGAAGAAGAAATAAATAAATTTCGTTTAGAACTTTAGGAACAAAATTTTTAATTAATACCTTGAAAAAAATGGATTGGATACAAATAAACGATTTCTTGTCTATTATCAAAAAGGGTTGCCACACAACCTGGAAAACCTGAAAATGTCAGTGAATTTTGATCGGAATCCTGGAAAATTATTTCAGTTTTGAATGAATTAATTAAATAATAAAAATTTCACAGGAATTCTATTATTTACAAATTCTTTATAAATTTCTTCGCAATAATTCAATTATTTTCATAAATAATCAAATTTTTTTACAGAGATTCAATTACTTTCATAAATAAATAATAATAAAAAACTTTATAGGTTTTCAAAAATTTTCATAAGTAATAAAACTCATCGCAGAATTTAAATTACTTTTAATACAATTTTAATCAAGTTTCTCAAAAAAATGTAATTATTCTTAAAAGTTTTATTGAAATTCATCAAAGAAATTCAATTTATTACTTTAAAAAGCCTTCCTATAATTTATTTATTAGTAAAGATGTTTTCTAATTTGAATTAGTAACTGACTTTTGCTTTTGAATTAGCAGATTTTACTAAAAAATAGTCATTTCTACTAATTTAATAGTGAAATTTACTAATTCAAAAGCAAAAAGTCAGTCACTAATTCCAATTAGTAAACATTTTTACTAATTCAAATTTAGAGAGAAAGTATTTTAGCGTGAATTTTTAGAAATAATTGAATTTTGAAAAGGTTTCAAATTATAATCTTTGAATGTTTGAATTTTTCATACTTTGAACTAAAAATTGTGTATATTTAATTTTTTTGAAAAAGTTTAATAGAATTTTTTTGAAGTTATGTGAAGTTTTTATTTTCTAATATATATTTGATTGAAGAATTTCCGAATAATCGATGAAATTTTGTAAAAAATTGAATTGTAAACAAAAAGATTTGAAAATTTTCAAAGAAATTTTTCAAAAATTATTAAAAATAATTTATTTAAAGAATAATTTTAGTTAAAAATTCTGGAAAACAATAATTGAATTGAAGTGATGAAAGTAATTTTGAAGAAGTTACAGTGACAATATTCTTATAATATAAAATAATGATTTTATCACACGGAGAGAAAAATCAAGCGTTTGTAGTATGGACAGTTAAGCTTATTTCGTAAAAGAATGCACATGCGCAATATGCGTAAAACTTCTGCTGTATTTGTATAAATTTCTACGTTATCAGCATAAAAGTTCTACCTGTAACGCATGGGACGTCAGTATACTACGATTGCAAGAGATCCATGCTTTTTTAGTATATGTTTCATGCAACTGAGGTATAAAAACATGCCTCTTTAGCAGGACGTTCATACAAAATTAGCATAGGAAGTCTCCATACTACAAACGCTTGATTTTTCTCTCCGTGCAGTCGGTCATTTTAAATTATTATAAAACATGAAGATATCGATTGTTCCGAGTCGATCGATTTCTTCATGTTTTATAAAATTTTTTTATAAGTTGTTTAATTTCAAAAAGGTTTGAATTTGAAATTTTTTAAAATCTTAATTCTTATGGAAAAATTATACTGACTAAATATTTATTTAAAAAAGATAAATACAACAATGCGGAATACAGTATTATATGAAAGTTTCATGTGTTTGTAAAAATTTATTGGAATTATTTAATTTTGTAATTTATAAATGTAGTTTTAAAAATAAGAAAAAATTCCTTTTTTTAACCTGGAAAACCTGGAAAAGTCAGGGCATTTGAAATGAGCAAAAGCGTGGCAACCCTGTCAAATAAATATTTATTTTAATCAAATAATTTTCAATTCAAGTCAATTATATATTATATTTGCTTCAAATACTAAAATTATTGGTTCAAATAAAATTTATTTTATTTAAATAAAAATAACTTGATTCAAGGAAATATTAATTTCATAATAGACAAGTTATTGGTTATTTAACTCAAGTAAACTTTTTTTCAGTGTAATACAATTTAATTAATTAATTACTATTTAGTATTTTCGTAATTAATAAATAATTAATGGTTTCTTAATTAACAAATAATTAATACAGCAACAGTTCGCGCGGCTAACTTCTTACTTGCTTTTTAAAATAAAATAATAGAATTTAAAAATATTTAATTAAAATTTTTTTTCTTAAAAATAGTAATTACCTATATGAATTGGAATATAGTTTTAATACTATATTATAATTATAATAATAATATATTCTAAGACAGGGAATTCAGGGAAAAGTTAGGGATTTTTATTAAAAGTAATGGAAAAAATTAAATTTCTAGAATTCATAAGAAAATTTGAGTTTACAATTTATTCATAAATAGATTAACTTCATAAGGTTTTAATTCGAAATTCTATAAAATTTCAATTTCAATGAATTTAATTAGAAATAGCTAAAATAAGTTTAGTTTCTGATTTTGATGTCAATACATATTTTAACAATAATGTCTATATTAACTATTCTAATGTTCTTATAAAATAACGAAGTTGATTGGAATTTACTTTCTGAAAAAATCAAAATTTCTATAACAATCGTGATTCAAAAATATACCTAAGTTCTGCAAGCTTTTCACTCCTTTTTAAAAAAATACTTTTAAGATTTTCTTGAAAAATGTAATTAATCTAGATTAAAAAATATAAATTTATCCATTTTTTCCAAGAGGAACTTGAAATTTTGTTAAAAATTTATAATTGATAAATCAAATTTATAAATTATAAACAATCTCGACGCCTCCCGTTCATAAAATTCTACCTTAAACGTCAATGCAAGACAATTCTATTTGCAAAAGAAGTGCTACATGAAGTTAACAAAAGAATCGTGCAAGATAATTCTATTTCAATTTTTCTGTGCAAGACAATTCTATCTCAAAGTTTCAATGAAAGATAATTTTTCATCTTGACTTAAATAAAAAACACTCATTGAACCTCAAAATTGCGGTTTATAACTAGTATTAAAGTTTATTATATCATGCATTAAAACTTTTGATAGCATTTTTTTGTATACATATAATAATATTTTGCACGTAACTTTGAGATAGAATTGCACGGAAAAATTGAAATAGAATTATCTTGCATGATTCTTTGTTAACTTTATATTGCACTTCTTTTGCAAATAGAATTGTCTTGCATTTGACGTTTAAGATAGAATTTTATGATATCTTTGAATTTTGTTTTAAAAAATTGTAATTGAGAAATAGAAATGGTGCAAATTAGTTCCTTTTTATAAAAGAAAAACAGAATTTGTACAAAAAATAAGATAAAAATAGGAATTGTGCAAATATTATTTCTTTTGTTAATAGCGAAGAAATGGCGACTGTAAAAAAAAATCTCGAAAATCTGGTTGACATGATATCTCCAGTCAGAACAGACGGAATCAAAAGATTCAAACGGCATATTAAAATATAGGTACCTAAGTGGTTATAGCCTGAAGTAAAATCATAATTTTTAAATAATTTTTAACCTGTTTTTTAAACAATTTTAGTTGCAAAGGAAGGGTTAAAAAAGTAAAAAGTCCGTCATTTTGTTATTTTTCAATGAAAATTTTTTATTTTACTTCAGGCTATAACCACTTACTTATATTTTAATATGCCGTTTTGATTTTTTGATTCCGTCTGTTCTGACTGAAGATATCATGTCAACCAGATTTTCGAGATTTTTTTTACAGTCGCCATTTCTTCGCTATTGACAACAAAAAATATAGAAAGAAATTTTTTTTATTTAGTTTAATATACACTGGGGTCAGAAAGTTTCAGTACATTTGTACTGATTACTATTAATTGCTCGCTTCACTTCAAATTCAAACATTTCAGTAAAAATAGAGGCAACAGCTATCAAACTAGGATCATTTTAAAGTTCGATAAATTTCGAGTCAAATAGGCTAAGATATAATCAATTTAATACTGTAAATATTAAAAATATAATTATTTAAAGTTGAAGATTTTTTGTGAAAATTGCCATCTTAAAATCTGGAGTTCTAGCGAACGCGCCAATTGAAGAAAAATTTTTTTTAGAGTTTGACAGTTGTACAATATCAAGTACAAATTCCATTCTTTAATTCTAGATCAAAATCATTTACAAATATTAAGTATTTTATTCAAATTCTTTAAAAATAAATTCTCCTGCTCTTAATTTTTCGAAGAATAAAAATTGCAAATTCGTCGTTTCCATTCATTTGTTTTATCAATGAACCACACTTTTGAAAAATAAAGAACCTCTTGATTGTAAGAAATTTATAATTTTTACATGAAATTTAACACTCTTCTTACAATTTTACAAATTTTAATTCTGTCATTATTCCTAATTTTCTTTCTCGATGACTATTTTCTTATTTTACAAAAACACAGAGATTATGCATATTTTTCAAAAATGTGGTTAATTGATCAAACAAGTGAACGGAAACGACGAATTTGCAATTTTTATTCTTCGAAAAATTGAGAGCAGGAGAATTTATTTTTAAAGAATTTGAATAAAATACTTAATATTTGTAAATGATTTTGATCTAGAATTAAAGAATGGAATTTGTACTTGATATTGTACAACTGTCAAACTCTAAAAAAAAATTTTCTTCAATTGGCGCGTTCGCTAGAACTCCAGATTTTAAGATGGCAATTTTCACAAAAAATCTTCAACTTTAAATAATTATATTTTTAATATTTACAGTATTAAATTGATTATATCTTAGCCTATTTGACTCGAAATTTATCGAACTTTAAAATGATCCTAGTTTGATAGCTGTTGCCCCTATTTTTACTGAAATGTTTGAATTTGAAGTGAAGCGAGCATTTAATAGTAATCAGTACAAATGTACTGAAACTTTCTGACCCCAGTGTATAGGTAAAAATATGTAAAAATTTTAAAATGTTTAAATAATTTAATGTTTAAATGTTTACTATGAAAAAAAAAATCTTCAAAATACGTGCAAAAGATCCAGACTGACCCTTTAAGAAGTAAAAAAAAATCTGCATAATTTCGATTTTACAAAACACATAATATTTAACAAAATTATAGTCTTTTAATGAAAAGAAATGAAAAAAATTCTGATGATTTCTATTTCTCATTAAAACTTTGAATTAATTATAAAATAAAAGAAATTATAAAATATAATAATATTATAATACAATCTATCTAAAGATAACAAAAAACAAAAGACAACTTCAGAGTGTGAGGGACAGCAAAAGTCAATGAATGAAAGAACATTCAAATTACTATATTAATTTTCGTAATAAATAAATAATTAATATTTTCTTAATTAATAAATAATAATAAAAGGCCTGTCCCGTTAATAATTAAATAAATAAATATTTTCGTAATTGAAAAATAATTAATAATTTCGAAATTAATAAATAATTGATATTTTTTTAATGAATAATTAATTAATTTAATTCGTTTTTTTTGCAGGTAATTTTAGTTTCGGAAGTTGCACAAAATTCAAATCGCACACAATTGTCGATTTCATTGAGAATGCAGTTGAACATTCGAGGAGTGGTCGTTATTTATTTTTTCTTCATCGTCGACCTGTTTTGGGTCCGATGAGAGTACAATTACTTCATCCCGTATCAAGATTCAAACAAGTGCAGAGCTTGCAGCATACGTGTAGATTTGTCATATTAAAATTGGTTCGAAAGGATCTCATTTCAACACTACCTCTGCCAAGGCGTCTCATTGATTATTTGAATACACCTCATTATTATAGCGAGCAATTGGCCGAACAAGAGGAACGTGTTGAATCGCCAGTTAGCTCCTCAACTGGCGAATTAGAAAAGATTTGTTTTACACCGCAAGGCCTATCGTGAGGTATAAAAAATACGTAAGAAAAAAAAGAAGGAGAAAAAGAAAATCGCATATTAAAATTTCATACGCGATCTGTAATATATAAAAGAGGGAAAAAATGAGCATACTACTAATATTTAATATTTCCTCCATTTTCTCTTTCATTCAAAAAGGGAATTTTTTTTAAGGCACAATATTGTTTATTCGAATTTTGCGCCTGTAGACTGAAAAAATCTGTGAGTGATAGTTATTTAAATTTTTTTTTGATATGTTGCGAAGGTGAAGAAATTTTTTTTTGTTATTTGTTAGAAAAAAGATACGTTATTGAAATTTTTAAATATGTATCGTTAAATATGGTCACGGATGCAAGAACGACTTGATATTAGTTTTTTTTATATAGACATAGGCGATAATTATTATTGATCTGGCATTCGTGTTCCTATTTGCTTGATCGACAAGTTCTCTATTTTATGGAATTATTTATTAAAAAACATTGGTGCAATATTGTAGATGTTAATTATCAAAATGAAGTCGTTTAAAGGCTCATCGCTCTCCCTCCTCCAAAGTCTGTTTTTCTGTTGTTTGTTACAAATTTCTTGTCAGAATTAAAAAAAATATTTTTTTTTATTTTAATTATTATTTTTATTTTTCCTTATCTTTTTCTTCATTTTCTATTATTATTTTTCTCTACCTTCTAAACATTATTTTTCTTTATTTTCCAAATATTATTTTTCCTTTTCTTTATTTTCTAAATATTATTTTTCTTTTTTATTCTTTGGAATTCTTTTTTCAGAAATTGTTTTTGTTTCTTTATCAAAAAACATCTTCCCCTGATCTTTGTATACGCTACTTTAGAATATAAGATATATCGATAAAAATAATAATTTGAGTAAAATAATAAAAAAAGTAGCATTTCATAGAAAGTACGCTGCAAACAAACAATTATGAAAAATAAAAGTTTTTTCCAGCATGCCGATTACTCGTGACTACGGAATATATATAAAAACCGTCATTTAGATAAACGTCATTAAAAAGAAAAAGAAAAAAAATACATCATAAGAATTATACACATTTTATACTCATTCCTTTTTGGAAAATGTATACGGTTATTTGTATATACCTTTAGCCTAAAAGAAAGAAAAAAACATTGAAAAGAAAAATGAATTGAAAAAGTTGATTTTCCATTTTTTCAAACTTCTCCAACAAAAAAAATAAAAATGAAGAAAAATGAAAAAAAATAATAATACAACGCCACCAATAATATAAAAAAAATAAATGCGAAGGGCACATACACAGACACAAACAAGTGATATGCAAAAACGACTTGCGCGGGCATTGTGATTTTATTTAATAAAAATAAAATTCCGTCTATATATTTAATCCATTGCTCATTTTTCCCATTTCCTGTTTTTTCTTTTTTTTAATTTAATTTTTACTCCCTTTGTTTCTGTTTTGTAGATTTTTTTTAATTTAATTTTTTCCATCGATTATATTAATTACACATTTTGTTTTTAAATAAATTTAAATATTAATTAATTATTATTTAAGCAATTAATTATTAATTCATTATTAAATATTGAAATTTAAAAACAAACATATGTAATGAATTTAATTAATAAAAATAATAATTATGTATTAATTATTTTAATTTCGTTTCTAAAGTTTCGAAGGTTCAAATGCACGACGATATTTTTTTAAATGTTTTAATTTTTGTTTTGTTGAAAAAAAAATTATTTCCTGTATTAAACAGAAATTATAGGAAAAATTAATTTTTTTAAAATATAATTTCTTAATTTGAATTTAATTTTCTAATTTAAACTATTTTTTTAATTTTAATTTAATTTTCTGATTTTAATTTTTTTAGTTTTAATTTCTAAGCCAAACTCGGCTAAATTTTAATTTAAGCGCCCCTTTTCGAAAGCACCCCGAAATTTGTACGCTCCTGATTTTTACGTGGAACATAGACAGCATTACTACACGGAGAAAAAAATCAGGACTTTTTAGCATGGATGCAGGTTCCACACTTAAACCAAACGGACACCCGACACAACGCGCGTGCCCCCTCTGCCTCATCTACCAAATGCTTTCCCCTCCTTACGTAGGAGAAGTTAGCATTGGAGAGGGGGCACGTTTCACGTGCCGGGCATCTAGTGTGGAACCTGCATGAGTGGTCTATACCTTTGTGACGCTGTTACGTGCGGAGTTACGTTATTTACGCGCAGGCGTAAGATCCGCGATTTCATTCGATGTTCAATCTTGGTTTAATCCTTTGAAAAGGAAGGCGGAAATATTCAAATAAAACAAGTTAATTTCCGTTAAAACGGAGGGAAAAACCTCACGAATAAGAAGGATCAATTAATAACTAATAATATTAATTAATCATTAATCCAACTAAATTCGCGAGTAAACCCAATACATTTATTAAAGTCAAAACATTACACAAGTCGATGTTATTCTTATAACTATTTTTGGGACTACTCTGAAGTACATTACGAAAGAACTCCAAAGTAGAACTGAATTCGTGAGGGAGCATTTATCCCTTGGTCCATGGGATCTTTGCGCATGCCCTGTTATAGGGCGGTATTCATAGTCCCGACTTAAGCAAGGACTTAAGCTTTGCTTGATCAAGTCGGTCTTATTCGAATGAGTCGAGCTTAAGACCGTATGTATTCATAGTCAAAAATAAGCAATTGCTTGGTAAAGGAAATGCAGCTTAAGAACTTCTTGACCAAGCAAATGCTTAAGATGATCTTATTGAGCGTTCGGCTTTTTCCGTCAATATTCTCTTGTATCTACCAATAAGCGATAGTAGATAGCTTATATTCATTAGAAAAAATGGCGCTAATGCACATAAAATATCTGATAAGGGAAAGGAGGGGGGGGGGGTCAAAAAAACTGAAAAATATGCATATTTTAATATTTTTAGGATAAAAGTTATAAAGTAAAAGGATACAAGAAATGACTACCAGAATGATGAAAATTGAAATATTCTTATTCCTCACGAAATATTATATTTAGATTCTAAATTTTTCTGTATTAAAAAATAGAAAAAATTATTTTAACTATTATTATATTGTTTCTAAAAAAAATTATTGAGTCAGAATCAGTGAAATTTTACAAAAAATAAGGAGTATTTTTATAATCGAAATGAAAAAAAGCATTTTTATTTGGCCATTGTCTCTAACAAACAAACGACAGAAAAAATTTTGTTTAAAAAAAGTTATTGTAAAATGAATTTTTTTGCAACTTTTTATAAAAAAATCTTATTTTTCCTAAAACAATGAACCAAGAGTGCATATAAAAGGGGTAAAACAATTAACTTTCATTTGGAACTACAAAATTTTTAAAAATAGTATTTTTTAATAATTATTTAATATTAACAGTTTTATTTCCTCATAGGGTGTCGATTTTCTTAGAATCAATTATTTTTACAAATTTTCAAGTATAGCGTATATAAATATTTCAACATGGGGAACAAATTCTCCGGATGTATGTGTGTGGATGCATATCGAAATGTTTTTTCAACATTTCGATGAAAAAAAAATACTTTTTATTTCTCGTGAAAATTTTATAAATTTTGAACCTTTTTTCTAAATTATTAAATTTTAATTATTATTAAATTGTTTTTAACAAAAAATCTTTTCATTTTTATTATAAATATTTATAAAAAGACAATAAGTAATTGCTTAAGTCATGTAAAACGTTGACTTAAAATCATAACCTCAATTCGTTCAAATAAGTTCACCGGCAATGTCAAATAAGATCATCTTATTTGACTATGAATACTTGTCATTCTTAAGATGGGACTATGCATCTCAAAATCGAAGCATTTACTTTGTCAAGCATATGCTTAAGTTGCGGCTTAAGGCAATGCTTATTGCACGACTATGAATCTAGGTGGCAGCTTAAGTCGCTGCTTAAGAAATAAGTATCGACCAAGAAGACTAGAGACAGGAGGGATAACTCGGGTAGTGGGGATGGCTTGGTAGATGAGGACAATGGGGGAAGTAGTAATATAGAAATGTAGTTAGTGCAGAAACGCAAAATAGGTTACTGCGCAAGTAGTGGAAAAAGATGAGAGAGAATAGCAGACGTCAAAACATAGAAATGTCATATATTATATTATGAAGAGGTTATTTTAACGATTATGATTCTTTGACTTTGAAATTCATCGTCATAATAAGGTAGTAAACTGAAAGAAATTTGATAAATTGCAATCCCAAACTAATGTCGAAAAAATATTAGAAATTATTAATAATTGTATTGATAAAAGTTGGATGTTTATTTCATAACCTCAAAAAAACCTTGGTTTGTATTCATATTATATTGATAGAAGGTGGACGTTTATTTCATAACTTTAAAAAATAACCTTGGAAAATTAGTTGTAATACGTAGTAGGTAATTAAAAACAACTTAAATTGTTTTCATAAAAACTTTGCGGTAAACACAATATCACACAATGACAATGTGCAGCACGTGGAAAAAGATTTCTTTTAGCGCGTGTTTGAATCTGAATCGTTTGAATAATCAGCGTGCGCAGAAACCTAATTTTGGTCTATTGCACAAACTACATTTTCAACTATCCGCCTCCATTGCCCTCACATTTTCTGCCACCGCTCTCTACAGGAATACATCAAAGTTACTCCTCCTGTCTCTAGTCTTCTTGGTATCGACTATGAATACCGCCCATAGAGTTTGTAAAGTCTGAAGTTTTTAGAATCACAACACTAACACTGCACTGCACTAATACACGTATAAACATACTCTATGTATTGAAAACATGTATCACAACAAGTGAACATAACCCTTTTGCATTCACACTAATTACACAATTATTAATTATTTACATCATATCTAGTAACAATAAATCTCTTATACTGCACTCATCATTTTAAATATAAACAACAATTATAACGATAACCAATTTGATAATATATCATAATATAATATTATTATTATATTAATACGTTACAAATATACATATACATATACATATACATACATACACATATACACACATACATGCATATATCCTATACCATAATATTACAACAATAAATCAGATAAAGTTTACTAATAATATTATTTTCAAATAATACATTCATACTGCACAATTAGCAACAATATAATATTGTTGTTAATTATTCATAACGTTCATATTATACAATTGATAATTAAGGTTCGTCGCATAATGAAAGTCTATGTGTACGTGACTTTTCGAAGCCATTTTTGTGGTCACAAGTCGTCGCTTGGGTGATAAACCATAGAGATGTCTAATGTGACGTCACCTCTGTCGGTATAGTCGCAGAAAGTAGAGCGATTATCTCCCAGGCCCCAATGTAACATTGGCTTATATGGGAGATTGCAGAAAATAATTTCTTTCTCTAAAATTGAAGTAAAAATCATGATAACCAAATGTGATTTGGATAAAGTAAAAATTTTCACAATACATACGTATTTAAAACTAAGTTATAAATTTCCCAAAGTTTAAAAATTTAAAAAATACCAGTTCTAGCAGACGAAATTCTCTTCTGCTAGTTCTGCTAGAACTGGTATTTTGTAATTTTTAAACTTTGGGAAATTTATAACTTAGTTTTAAATACGTATGTGTTGTGAAAATCATTACTTTATCCAAATCACACTTGGTTATATCATGATTTTTATTTCAATTTTAGAGAAAGAAATTATTTTCTGCAATCTCCCATATAAGCCAATGTTACATTGGGGCCTGGAAGATAATCGCTCTACTTTCTGCGACTATACCGACTGAGGTGACGTCACATTAGACATCTCTATACTATTTCAGCTTTGCGCTGAAAACCATTCTATTTCAAATACGCACTGAAAAACATACCATTTCGCGAGTGTGCTACAAAACATTCATTTTCAAAAGACAGTTGAAAAACATACGATTTCAACAGAGTTTTGAAGATAATTTCATTTCGAGAACATACAATTTTTTTCAGGTTGACAACTTTAAGAATAAGATATTTATAAGGTTAAGAGATCTTAAAGTAACTTGCAAATCACTTGATATGTATAGAATTTATTATAATTTTTATCATTTTATATGTAACCTACAATATTTTTTTTAATTCATAAAAATAAAATACATTCCTAATAGTCAAACTACTGCTTGAATTCTAAAAATTAAAATAAAATTGATTATTTTGTAGAATCAAATTATCTAATTGTTAAAAATTAAAAAATATAAATGTTTAATTTAAAAGGCAGAATATACTGTTATTTTAAAAAAATTTTAATATTTTAAAAATAACAACTAGGTATTATTAAACAATTTTTAATTTCTCAAAAATCGATTATAAATTTGCAATTATTAAATTCTATATAAAATTTGTTATGCTCTATTATAAACGTAA